GAAAGTGACCCATTGGTTATGTACCTGGTTCAAATCCCTTTATTATGCTTGCCCTAGCTGTTTGTACCCATTCCTAACAAAGAACTTGTTTGAGTATCTTTCCAAAGCTTTGAAATAAATTTTGCTTTTCTGAAACGTGGATTTATTCTCGATGCTTGGGGATCCAACACCGAGCCAGGAGTGGGGGGGGTACGGAAAAGAGGGGGGGCTAAAGTGTGCACATGTGCCGTTGGGTGCTTGTGCGCATCCCATGGAGACTTGGGGGGGGGAACCTTTTAGCGACAGGACATGGGCGGGCGCCGGATGCCACGACCTACCACCGGAAACGCGATCAGGCGCCTGCCCTTGCCCCGCCGTTTCCAGAAACTAGAACCTCGGAGGTACTAGTTTTTTACCCCGCATCTTCGGCGGGAAGCCTTGGGTTCGCCACGGGAGCTCTACGCTTCCCAGATGTGGTGCTGTGATCGCGCCCGGAAAATCCACCTATCTTCCGTCTCTGTAGCGTGGCTAATGCTCCGTGTGACCGCAGCCTAGATCAGGAAAACAGCATTTGGGACAAACCTTAGACTCCTCCATTATTGCTGCTCCAGTTAAAGTTGCCACATCCAGTAGCTGCCTGAGAGCAAACAGCAACAAGGACAACAAAATTCAAGATATCTAACCAGAAACCCCCCAGTTCATTTCTGGTTTGACCTTAAATAAGTTGAACGTTTCTGTGTTGAAGTCCTACAGCTTCTAAGGATATTTATTCAGAATCTAGCAGTGAGTTCAATGGGTATGGTCTGCAAATAAGTATGCTTATGATTGTAGCCTTACAATGAAACCCTAAACAGAATTAAACACTTCTAAGCCTACTGGGTTGGATCCAGACTAAATTTCCAACGGCACTGGAAACTGCACTGTTAAGTCTCTTAACAGAACTGTATTGCCCAGAGTTTAAGATGACTTTTTAGGTGGATAGGTAGAAAGGCATGCAGGAAACTTGGCAGTCATATGATTTTGGAAATATGATTTGAAATGTCCAGCTAAATCCCGGGGGTGGCAGGTTGTGGAGACAACCAGGTGGCTGGATAAGTTTGCCAATGGGAGGGGGACTTTAGCACACTGTACAGTACGTTCCTCTTCTGCTAGGAATAGCAGAAAAAAGAATTATGCAGAGATCCTTAATTTGTATCATTTATATACTACAGAATTCAGGTTGCCTTAGGGCACAATTTGACATTCTAAAGACACCATTAAAACCCAGAGGATTTCTGTTTCTTTACATGGGGAAGAAACTGTAATGCTTGAGGCTGCTGCAAATATTCCTGGCCCTCACATGAGGCAAAGTACCATTACTGAAACCACATAAAACATTGCTGCAGCCTTTCCCATGTGGGTGGGGAGACACAGCTATGAAATGTCGCCTTTCAAGTCTCCGTACACTGCAGTCACAGCCTGGATGGACTTAGTCACCACACACACTGCCAAGAAATGTTAACTCACTCTGTAGCAGAACTCCTAAGACTTCAGTCTGTGTGATGACCATCTTTCCCACCTCCTTTGCCATCCTCCCTCTTCCTCCCAAGGCCATAAGGGTGCAGAAGATATCTCCCACTTGGATTTAGTAGGTCCACACATCCTTGTCTTGTACTACAGTAATGCACCTTTCCCTCCATTTTCATCTACTGGGATGCAGAGATGTCCCTGAAGGAGCACAGGTAGGCAAGGGGGCTGCTGCATCAATCCCTTTGAAGACAGTGGACCTGCTGGTTTTCTCAATCACATTCCAGAAAGCCTCCCCACTTCCCTTCCAATTTACTGCTCCTCCGGAATTGAACCTCACTCACTCAAGTAGCTCCTCCACCCAGCTCCTTGGCCTGACCTGATCCCCTTCCCCCTTCCAGCACCAACCCTGTAGCTCACCTGCTCCTTCAAAATTCCCCCCCCCCACTATAGGCTGGATATTGGGAAACAGATTGTGTGACAACAGCTGGGAAATAGGACAAACAGCCCACAAAGTTGAAGACTCTCATGCCCTTGACGGGACCTTTGTGGAGGCCAGCTGTTCAAAAGGTTTGGTCTAGATGGACCAAGAGCCCATTTTCTGTGTAGTAATGTCTCCTTCTCTATTACCAACACGTGTGCAAATCAAGACAGCCATCAAGATTGGGCTCTTCTAGATCGGTAGTATTGACTGGAATAGTGGGATTCAGTCAAGGCTAAGAGATAAGCAGCCACACTCACCTCTTCGGGCCTACTCAGAACATGCCCCTCGGGTCCAGTGATTCCCAGCTCCAAGATCCTTTGCTGCTCCTGAAAGAGAAAAAAGGAGCAGAGCTCAGAAATATTTTATGCAAGAGAAACTTGAGACCCTTGATCCATGCTCACTCTACGTAAGACCCCGTCTGCTGACAACCTGCCCAACTTCTAATGACTGGATAATGAACAACTGCTTATAAACATACATGAAAAGTGTTTTCTATCCAGTCAGATTACTGGTCCAATATTTTCCACTGGCAGCAGCTCTTTCGGGTCACAGTCACACTGACCCTGAACACTGAGATCCTGTAACTGGAGATGCTGGGAATTTGACCTCGGGCTTCATGAATATGCTCTGCTGCTGAACTATGGGACTTCCCCGAGTTTCTTTTTTTTAAAGAATAAACCAGATGAGACATTCCTGAAAATGATTTGTTTCTTAAAAGGAGGGAGGGGCTTTCAGAGTTTAAACTGCAGTGATTTGTTTTTTGGCCAATGGTTGCTTGAGTTACGACTGCTTCTCAGCTGGGGACTCATTGTGTTTTGCAAAATATGTGTGTAGGTTTTCTTGGCCTTATTGTTTGATTTATTTCTACTGTTTGATGAAATCTGTTGTAACCCTTCCTGAGGGTCATGAAAGGGAACTATTTTAAATGTAGGGATTTCTGTGAGGCAGCCCAGAAGCAACAGCAGAGGTAAAACCTAAAAGGTGACGAACTAAGACTTGTGAGACATAAGAGTCCCGGGCCTCCCTCCGACCACATTTTTATGGCATCCTTCTTCCAAGATGCTCAAGGTGGTGTGCATGGACCTATCTCATTTTATCTTCACAATAACTCTGCAAGGTATGTTAGGCTGAGACCCAAACAAGTTGTGTCTAACCCATGGCTGTCAATGTTGTTTCAAAAAAGAATTTGGCCATTTCAAAATGCCACCAGGGGGCCCAGGGTGCAGTGGGACCAGGCAATCTTGGGTCCCCCTACCTTGTGAGCACCTTTTCAACGCTCTCTGTTTGGTGTAGTGGTTAGAAGCACAGACTCTAATCTAGGAGAACCGGGTCCCTACACCTCCACATGCAGCTGCTGGTGTGACCTTGGGTTAGTTACAAGTTCTTTCAGAGCTGTTCTCTCATGTATAGTTCTCAAAAGAGCTCTCTCAACCCCACCTACCCCACAGGGTGTCTGCTGTGGGGAAGAGAAGGGAGACTGTAAACTGCTCTGAGACTCTTTCAGGTTGTGAAGGGCGGGGTATAAATCCAATCTCCTCTTCTTCTACTGCTGAAACAGGCTGCTTTGGCACTTGGAAAGATAGGGTGGTGGGGTGAACAACATCACTTAGTCCCACGGTGGAATGGCCCAATCAGGATTGTGTCCCTGAGGCATTTTTAAATGGCCAAAATTGGTTGGACCCGTGGCTACCATAACATCTAGTTTGGTCCTGAGAGACACAGCACAACTGATCCCTGGTCATCTAGTGAGCCTCATGGCTAAAGAGGACAAGGAAAGCCATTAACATGTCTGAGCAGGAAGAGCTGGGTTCAGATCCTTCCCCCTCATGAAACTCCCTGGATGATGTCACCTTGGTCATTTGTTGCCTACCCCACAGGATTGTTGCAAGGATAAAAGTGAAGAAGAGAGAATCACATGCAGTGTTCTGAGTTCCTCAGGAAACAGCAGCATAAAAATGAGATTTCTGAGCCTGGCCCCCCCCCCCCCAGCTAGTCTGACATTCTGACCATTGTATCACACCAACTCTGCATAATAAAAGGCTGGGGAAAACCAACAAAAGGAACTCTCTATGTGCCTAGGCTAACCTCGCTAGCCAGGTAGAGAAGGCAACAATGTTGTGAGCTCAGCTACATCCTGCCTTACAGCACCCTGTATGAACAGGATCAGAGGTGCTCAGATGTCCTTCAACTGAAGTCAAAATATACAGGAAATGTATCTCTAAAATATTCCTTCTGTTGTTGTCCCTGCCCATTCCTTTCCCCCTCTTCTTCTCTGTCACCTCCCACTGACAGGGTGCGTTCAGACGGGGCATTTACAATGGTATAGGTGCTGGTTGGAATCGGTGTACTCACCGGCGTTCATACACAGAACATCTGCCTTCTGTCCCTAACTGTTGCAAAGAGCTTTAAACCGGTGTATTCTGCCACTAGGTCCCCAAGTGGTGGTATCCTGAGTGCACCGGTTGTAACCGCTTTACCCCCTGTCTGATCGCTCTCCACCGTTGTAGAGCCACTTCCGTTCGGAAGCCCGAGGCTTCCACTTTTCACCCACCATTTTTTTTGTTAGGTCGGGGATACGTGCTTGGGCGAAGCTTCGCCCCGCGTTTGTTTTTTAAAAAAGGGAAAAGGTCCTTAGTTTAAAGTTTTAAAGTCCGGGACCTCAGGGAGGCCAGTTTGCTCTTTAAACTTTAAAGGTAAGTCCTCTCTTCAGGGCATGCTTTTCTGGATGGGGTGTTTTGCGCATGCGCGAAGATCGCCATTCTGTGGATGGGTGCCTATGCGCATGCGCAAACTGAGTTTAAAAAAACAAACCACCAACGCCCACTGTGTGTGAACGAGCGTACAGCGATGGGCTCCGCAGACGGGAGGTAAGTGTGATCGCATTTCAGCTGGCATAAACTGCACCGGTTGGAACCGGTGCAGTTTATGCCGGCTGAAACGCCCCGTCTGAATGCACCCACAGTGTTGCAATTGTAGGTTCTGTGGTGCAGAGACCAAATCTTTCCCCTTGTGCCACACATCACTAACCATACCAGCAAGCATCAAAAGGTACCTCAGCAATGATGTCACCATTCTCAGCATGGACTTGGGCAATGGCGCCGATGTCACGCATCACGCTCAAGACCTCATATATCTAAGAGACAGAAAGGATGTTACTATAATGCTTCCAATGTATTACATTTCGGCACCATCTTTCTTTCATTATGGACTTGGTGGTGGCTTACACAGTGTTGTCCTATCCAGGCCCCGCCTTCTCAGCATTTGTAGAATAAATCCCAAGTCTCAAGCCCACTGGGCCTCAAAATAAAAGTTCCATGGTTCTCTTGATCTCAGAATTCGTAGAATTATTCACAGGAAGCTCTCTTACACTGTATCAGAACACTGGTTCCCTCCCCCCCCCCCCCGGTCATCTCATTTGCTCTTACTGGCAGTAGATCACCAGGATCTCAAGCAGGGAAAGGTTTCTCCAACTCCAACTGGAGATACCAGGAACTGGCCTTGGGACCTACTGCATGCAAAGCAGATGAGCTATTGCCTACAACAAAATGTCTTGTCCCTTATTTGGCAAACAGGTTTACCAATTGGCCAAGGTGGGGTAGGGGGTCAAATATACTGCCCAAAATCACCCAACAAGCATTGCAGCTAAATCAGGGTTTGAACCTTGGCCTTCCACACTCTGTCCATTAAGCCACACTGGACAGCAACAACTATGAGTAGGAAACCAGAGAATCACAATTGCAAACTAGTTCCAGTACCTCTGTAATCATACACATTAGTTCTTCCAATCAATAGTACCCAGAAAAACTCTACATTCTCTTTCTAAAGTCCACTCCATCATCCAAAAATTTCATGATATTCAAAAGGACCTGGAGGGAGTTTATAAGCTTCACCTTATTAGCAAATACAGCAAAGCTCAAAGGGTTGTTTCTGCTACCCAATACCACTTGCCCATTTTACAGCAGAAGTCTGCCATACCCAATGAAACAGACTAACTGAAGTAGCAGTCTCACTGATCTAGTCTATTTTTAAGTGCAGGAAAGAAAACATTCCTGTTCCAACCTCCAGAGCTCATGGATCCAATCATGTATCACAACCATGGCCACTATAAAACCCATGTACCAATCAAGAAGTTCACATACCTGAGAATCTGTTAGCTGAAAATGATCCTTGAAGGCCATGTAAACCAAGAAGGAATTCACTCCTATTTGAAACGCAAGAGGAAAAGAGGGAAAGATAGAGAAAGATGTTTAAGCTGCATCAAATCTACAAAGCTGAGGATGTAAGAACAGTCCCACTGCATCATACCAATAATAATGTCTTTCAACAATTATGTCTTTCATCTGTCATTTTTAATGCTACCTTAATCCAGAACACCAAAGGCCAAATGCAAGCTTAATTCATCTGTGCCAACAGATATTTATTCTAGGCTTATTTGTGGATTCCAGATTGGGCAGTCTGTTGGTATAATTTGTTTGCTTGTAACCACTGGCCACTGTAAAAGAGGGGAAATTTTTTGCCTTGCAACCATGTCCGTTAGCAGTTTATGAATCTGAACTGCCAATTCACAATTACCTTTAACCATGAATGCAGGCACATGAATGCCTCCCACATCAACCAACAATAAGAACTCAAATAGATGGGATGAAGAGCATGTCTGATTTTGATTAGTGAAACTGAGTGAAGGTTGATCAAGATGGGTAGCTGTGTTACTCTGTCTGTAGCAGTAGAAAAGAGCAAGAGCCCTGTAGCACCTTAAAGACTAACAAAATATGTGGCAGGGGATGAGCTTTCGTGAGTCACTGAAGAAGTGAGCAGTGACTCACGAAAGCTCATCCCCTGCCACATATTATGTTAGTCTTTAAGGTGCTGCTGAGTGAAGGCTGTATGGGCATAAGTCAAACTGAAGCTGCACAAGCCTAAAATGTGCATTTTATAGATAGGCAGAGATGTCTGACCTTCATCCAATCTGCTTAAGCCCTAGGAAGGTTTTCTGGAGAACTATATCTGAAGCTTGCACAGCTAGACCATGTGCCCACTTCAGAAAAACATGAAAAACAGGATCCACAGCTATGGCTAGGGTGGAGATGTTCCTTTAATCTCACATTAGCCTGAAAAGTAACTGAGCCTCCAAACAGTTCTCCAGCTCACCATGGTCTTTAACCAATGCTTCCATCTCTTCCTGAACTCCTTTATGCCACTCTGTGATGTCCACATGCAAAGAGTAATCGCAGCAGGACTTGCTGTCAGCCCATTCACGCCACTGGTCAAATGCAGAGAGCAAGCTGTTCCCCGGCTCTGAAACGACGTGATCAACTGCAGATTTTTTTAAAAAAAAAAACATACAAAAAACAGCGTACATTAGCAACCTTTAATGCATGCCCACATATAAACTCACACTTGTGACACAGATTGTGTTTTCACAAATTTTTCAACACAGATGTGGATCTCATTGCAGACATTGCTAATGTTTCCCAATGCTAATGTTTTCATGATATTGATTGGTATTTCTCTGGTGCAGAAGGAGAAACAGAGAATTCCAGCAGTTCATTAGCTTTACCATGATGTCTCAGATGCCCTCTCAGGGAAAGAGTCATAAGGTGGCATTACTGGGTAGCTTCTGGAACGCCAAGAGGGCTCACCTCTAAAACTGACATTGCAAAGGCCTCTGGAACAATCTTATTTATTTATTTATTTGGATTTCTAGCCCACCCTCCCCTACATAGCAGGGCTCAGTGCAAGTTACAACAATAAACATAAACAATGGATTTAGAACAGTTTGAACATAATTACACAAGATTAGAACCTATACTGAACATCAACTAAAACCATTACCAAGATGGTGGTCAGGCACATTGGCCTGATCCAACTTTGGCTTTTCTTATGTTCTTATGAGTGGCAGGATCGCCTAACCACCATGCAGTTGTTTTTGCTGCTTTCACAGGGAACAGAAAGCAGGGGTTTAAAGGGACTCCGATCCTTTTAAGCTCCTGCTTTCTGTTCCATCCATGAACCACTCTAAAAGTTCTTGGAAGTTTGCGACAGTGAACCCATCATGAACTTCTGTTCCTGAACCACAAACAGGACACAATTCATCACAAATTTTGCTTTGTGGTTCTGTTCATGCCCATCCCTAGACCCAGGTTTGAATCCTACTCTGCCATGGAACTTCCAAGGTAAGCTTGGGCCAATCACATACTTTCACCCTAACCTACCTCTCAATTGCAATACAATTTTTAGTTTTTTGGGGGGAAATGCCTGAGAGGAGGGTAACATGGTAATGATAAAATTATGCATGGGTTGAAGAATTTTTTCTCCCTCCTCCATGACAGTAGAGGCACCCAACGGGATTGTCAACCTCCGGGTGGTGTCTGGAGATCTTCCAGGATTACAACTGATCTCCAGGCTACAGAGATCAGTTCCCAAGAAGAAAATGGCTGCTTTGGAGACTGGACTCTATGGCGTTATACCCTGATGAGGGCCCTCACCTCCTGCCTTCCCCAGGCTCCACCCTCAAAATCTCCAGGAATTTCCCAACCTAGAGATGGCAACCATAGCACCCAATGAAACTGACATTTCCACAAAGCACATTTATGGGATTTGCTGCCACAGGAAATCATGACAGTCACTAGCTAAGATGACAGCCTTAAAAGGGCAACAGGCAAATTCAAGGTAGACACCTCCATCAATGGCTATTAGCCGCAATGATTAAGTGAGACTTGAGGATTCAGAGGCAGTGAACCTCTGGATGCCAACTGCTGTGGCGGGCAACTCCAGGGGAAGGGTTAAGGATTGGTTCCCTGCTTGCAGACTTTCTGAGCATCTGGTCACTGTGAGAAAATATGATAGATACATGACATGGACCACTGGTCTGATCCTGGTGGGATCCTTTAAATTAAGGAAGAGACAGGGATTTGGGAATGGGGAGAAAACATCCCCACTCAGATTCACAAATGCAGGAAGTCTGCCAAGGAATGATGGCCAGAGAGAAGGAGAATAAGGATAAACCCCCTTCCTCTCAGTTGAAGTCACCCATAGGTGACTTTTTTCTGGGGGAATGCACCAGAACAGAGTTCCGAAACCTCTTCAACAAAATTATTTTAAAAATGTTTAAAAGTTCATGAGTTTTCAGTATCCAGATTGAAAACTTTGCTTCCCCCTTGAGAGTTCTGACACCACTTCCCCACACCCCCAAAAAGCTCTGCCTATGGGGGCTCAGCCCCTCTAAGATGATGGAGTTGTTAATTGGGTTTTTATATAGAACACATAAACATATGCTTAACTACTGTTGATCCTTGCCCAAAAGTCAGGGAGGCATTGCCTGACAGTTTCTTTAAACAGTGATTCACGCCCCCTTTTTCACAGCAGCATTGCCAAAAGGCAAGTTTGTGGGGGGTTTTTTAACTAAATGCCAAAAGGCAAGTTTGGGAACTATATTATGCTTGTACTGATTATCCGAAGGACACTGCTGTAAGTCAATATTCTTTCACTAAATGGCAGTCAATATGCAAGTCTGCTGAACACTAAGACTGTGACCAGTAGCAGACTGGCCATTGAACTTACTGGGAAATTTCCTGACGGGCCATTGCCCTAAAGGGCCACTGCAGGCCAAGCCCCAGCAACGGTGCATGCGCCCCAAGGGCAGCTTGGCTCAGACTCTTCACCAGTAATGGGTATCAGCTCACCAGCTGTCGTCTCCTGCACTGCTGCTATTCTGTGCGATGAGGCAAAGGAAGAACCAAAGCCCATTGTTCGTGCCACTGAGATCAGTAGCCCCTGAGGTGCTGACTTGTAGCACCACAAGGTCTGCTCAGTTGGGCCGCTCCAGAGCCATTTTCACTTCCCAGTCCACTCCTGACTATGGCTAGAACAACTGATATAATCTACCGCAACTGCAAGTTAAGTGCATGACTTGGATATTCATACAACCGGAGCCCTCTACACACAACACTGTGCATGTTTAAATTAGTATGCATAGACTGCAGATAATCCCCCCCCTCACTTCCCTAGAGCCATGGTCCCAATCCAAATCGTACACCCCCACACACACCACTGCTTTTTATTTTAAATTATCGTGAGTATCTGTGTTGCTCATTAGCTCAGAACTGACTCTCTCTAAGGCGAGGGACAGACCATAATTGAAGCTGGTTTGAAAGAGAGGTCTCGTCTCCTGTCCAGATGTCACCATTATCCATGTTATTGCTTCTTTGAGGCTGAAAAACCACAAATATTGTGGGAATCTCTGCATGGCCACCTGAGCGGGTACGTTTAGCATGGGAGACCATCCACAAGCCAAAAAATATATTATATGAAGGGGTGTCTTTTTTACTTATTTATACCCCACTTTTCTACCCGAGGGAGTCCCAAAGTGGCTTACAACATTGTTCTCTCCTCAATGTTATCCTCACAACAACACTGTGAGTTAGGTTACCCAGAGAAAGTGACTGGCCCAAGGTCACCAGCAAAATTCCATGTTACAGTGGGGATTCGAACTTGGGTTTCCTAGGTCCTAGCCCAACACTCTAACTGTTAAACCAAGCTAGCTCTCTATGCATATGTAGGCTTCACAGTTGCAAGGCTTCGGTGCCATTCACAGCTGCACATCACAGGCAGAAAAAATCAAGGCACTGCTGGGAAACATAAAGGCTATAATTCATGCACAGTCATCCAGCTTTTCAAGCAAAAAGCAAAATATGCAATGCAACCCTAATCCCCATCTTGATTCCCTTCTCTATTATCTTTCAAGTTTTAAGAGAAAAAATATTTTGTTCTCTGAAAGAGTCAGGTGACATGAGATAGTGTCACTAGAGTCACAGAGCTTTCAGCTCTGCATCCATTTTCCATTTTTAAAAGGTGGGAATTCCTCGGACGCGAAAACCCAGCGCACATTCTACCAAGAAAGTCAAGTTCTAAGAAGAACACAAGAGCAGCCAAGTTGGATCAGCTCAAAGGGCAATACAGCCTAACATTCTGTGTCTTATACTGGCCAGGCAGATATTTCTTTGAAGCCCCAAAACAAGGATTGAAGACTTTTCTCTCCACTGTCACACAAGCACAAACTTCAGCAACTGCATACCACCTCAGAACCCAGAGGCTGCATTTAGCCATCATGATATAGGAACCTGGTAAAAAAAAAAAATCTTTGAAGCTGCTTTTGACGACAGAGGCTACTTAATGAAGTCAAAGAGCACATGGCTCTTTCCTGCAGATGTCAAGGCATACAAAAGCAAACATGTGGGAAATGTCAAGTCACAGTTATTCTTGCCTACAGTAGCCCAGTGTTGGTGTTGTCCACATTTTTTCCCAAGAGAATCTTCTGCTTCCAGGCCAGTGGGCAGCAAACTGTTCTTCTGAGGACAGAGCTTCAAGCACAAAGCAAATTTACAAACATTTAGCTGCTTCTTTATTCTATTTGGACTTTCCAGATGTGAAGATGTGACCCAGATGGTTTGGGTTTGCCGATTTTTCCCACCACAAGAGCCCATAAAGTGGTCACAGTTAAGACTAGCTCGATTTATAGAGCCCTGGAGGGACCACCACACACAGCTGGGTGTATCACAAGCTGTACAAAGCCAGTTCAGATCTAGTAACACATGGAAAGATTATCCCATTTTCTAGTAGTTTTACGGTTTGCTGAGGGAGCCCATTAAAACCTGTTTACAAGCCAATGTGATTTCCCTTCCATGTTAATAAACACCTGAGATGGGAACACAAGGGCATGGAGACCCACCAGTATCAAATGTTTCCAGCATCTAAATGATCAAATAGGTGTGATTACTGCTTGAAAAATGCAGTCACAGGGAATCCATATCCCAGGGATAATGAATAGTCATGTGATCAATACTCCCTCTAAACTAAGGAGTCCTGTGAGCAAAAATTCTGCTTTGAGAGCTACTGGGATTAAAGTTGTGAGCAAGCGATTTGGCTACTGCATAAATCAGTTTCCTCAGGAGCCATCCTTCCTGAGCTAAGACAAAAATGTGTGAGCTGGAGGCTAAAAAACTGTGAGCTAGCTCACAGTAACTCAGCTTAGAGGGAACACTGCACGTGATCACTTTAATATCTTGGAAATCAATGTGACTTGACATCATAGACTCAAATTCCCAAACTTTGTACCATTTCATCCTAATACTGGCATTGCAAGAATGAGCCACGCAAGTCAGAGGACTACACCGAGGTACAGCCAGTATTGCCCCTCCTTCCTCTTCTACAAGCAGCTGCTCTGCAGATTCAACAGCCAAGGAAGGCGATTTTGCACCCTTCCACCTCCATATGGCTATTAATCCACTTGGGTCCGTGACCCCAGGACTCAACTT